GAAACAAATAAACAAATATAAATCCCTTAGCAATTGCATTAATATTTTAGTGGCATTCATTATATATATAAAACTATAATTTTGCTTATTTTATTGGTTTACTGATACAAATAATGTATTTATTTAACTGATAATGAAATGTGTTCGTGACCAAAAAAAAAAAAATTTATAATTTTGCAATTTACGATAGTTGTTATATCACAAGTGTTATATAGACGAAACTAGCCGCAGAGATAAAATGTTTTCCATATTTCAAAACCTTAAACGTGAAGAGGTATCAAAATGCGTGGGTTTTATGACGTAAAAGCATTCGTTAAACCATTCAACAATTTTATTACAAATGTCTCAGTTTTATACATGTGCCTATTATGCTTGACTCTTAATTCTCGGACTAACCAATCTATCAATCGGGATCGCTACGCATAAAAATTAAACAATTATTTTAAAAGAAATTAGGCAAACCAAATGGCTTTGTTTTGTTGTATTCGTAACTAGATCCTCATTTTGGAGACAAGGCAAATACGAGGTAAAGTGTACGAGTTTGTCATTTCGTTGTGAAGTAGTGATATTTACTCAAGTCCACCGATACAATCCTTAATCTCCACAACGTTAACTTTGAATGCACTAACACCATCCCCTATATAAGCACATCTTTGATCTTTCTTAAGCATATGTTAAATTCTCACTATCTCAAAAACAAACCAATCCCTCCACGGTGCAATGGGTGACGCCTCTAAGGACGACGGTTCTAGCCAAAACAAAGCGGTGCGCAAGGAAAAGAGAGCGTTACTTTTTCGAAAATGGACACGAACCGATTTAGCGAGGGCTTCAGCTGTTGGGGCCGTGCATCTTTTGTGTCTACTAGCTCCGTTTAACTACAAATGGGAAGCTCTCCGGCTCGGTCTGATTATTGCCTTGGTGACTAATCTCAGCATTACGTTCTCTTACCATAGGAACTTGACTCACCGGAGCTTTAAGCTACCTAAATGGCTTGAGTATCCATTCGCTTATTCCGCGCTTTTCGCGCTTCAGGTAACCATCGTTTTAACCGAAACTGAATACAACCATTAAATATCTATCCTCGGTGATCTTTAAATTGTATTTTTGCAGGGTCATCCAATAGATTGGGTGAGCACACATAGGTTCCATCACCAGTTTACAGATTCGGACCGCGATCCACATAGCCCTATGGAAGGATTCTGGTTCAGCCATGTCTTTTGGATTTTCGACACCAGTTACATGAGAGAAAAGGTAACATAACGTCTAAAATATCTACAAAACCGACGTATGTGAATCAATGTATGATGTTCTAAAAATGCAAAATAAAAATGTAACAGTGTGGAGCACGTAACAACGTGATGGACTTGAAGCAACAATGGTTCTATAGGTTTCTTCGAAACACAATTGGTCTCCATATCTTATCATTTTGGGCCCTCGTCTATTACTTGGGTGGTCTTCCTTACCTAACTTGCGGCGTGGTAAGATCTCTATTAACTTTTGGGCATTAAATTGATTGTACAAAATGAAAATCGGATTATATGCATACGATACAATAGTGAAATAGTACTACACTAATTTTTTACGTCTTCACATATTGAAATATGAGTGATGTTTTTTACGTCAAATTCTAATGTATTCACATCGTATAACATTTGACGTATTGAAAATAAAGTAGCATCAAATCTACTAACACTTCTATTGAATTTTATGATTACCTTGTACATGTTTATTCAACTCTCGTTTATATATTTTTCGTCGATAGGGTATTGGAGGAGCAATCGGTTACCACGGGACTTGGCTCATAAACTCGGCATGTCATATTTGGGGTTCGCGAGCTTGGAACACAAAGGACACCTCTCGTAACGTTTGGTATTTTACCCACCCTAGTATTTATAGACATATCCTAG